CAGGTATCTGCTAACATAGCTCTGGAGGCCTTTCTGATCCGGCCATCTAACTTCCTCGGTCTGTCCTGCACGGCACTTCAGCAGCCCCCCTCGTCTTCCACCTCGCCCATCCCTGACAGCCACTCCCACGCTGACAAGGACGCGAGCAGAGAGCGTGATGCCGTGGGGGAATCGTTGCTCAACTTCAAATGCCACACTGTCAACAACAGCGGCTCACCAGCCAGTCAGCTCAGCAAGGTAAGGTGCAAGTTAGTAAATGATGTGAAACTTTCTAAAATATGCTATACCGCTCTTTTGCTCAGCTCTGTTGGCAAAAATCCACCAAATCCAGCCCCAGGTCAGGAAACTGCGTTCTTTGAGTGTTTCTCACTCCCAGCGGGCTTTTTTTTTTAAGACCACACACTTTTGTATTTTTTGACACTGTGTTCAGATGCAGGAGTGAGAGAAGAAGAAGGGATGTTCAAACAGAGGCGAAATAAAATATGAGAAAGAGAGCACAGCTTGTACAGCAGCTCGTGGGCACAATAAAATGAATTTTCCAACACCACACAGTGGAAGCATGCGAGAAGGATTACCACCTGCCCTCAAGTCTGTTGTTGCCTATTTGTCCCTGGCAAGATGACACCTTGTTTGGGTTTGTTGGCTCGCCATAGATCAGCTGGTGACGGGTGGGGTTGTGGTGGGGGCAGGGCCTGCAAATACGATGGTAATTTGGGAGTCAGTGAATGCGGGCCACTCCCCTGTGATGAATAAGATGGCCTTGCGTGGCTGTCACTTTAAATCAGCTCTGGCCCCACCATGGCTCCAGTTGTGGCCGTCCCAAATGACAAATACCACGTCAACCACAGACGAGGGGCACTCTGCCTCTAGCATACGGCAGGCAAAACGTTAAACTCCCGTGGCACTGAAGTGGCACAGTTCTGCAGCATTTGAACAGTTTGCGCCCTCCAGCTATTCACTCTGCCGATGAATTCATCAGTGCATATGAGTGTACCTCTGTGCATGTTAGTGTGTATCAGCGGGAGACTGTATGGGTGTGTGTGCTTATTTCCTTTCCATCATCAGCTTCTCTGGTGAGACGGTGTCAAGTCTCTGTGGTTTTGTCAGCAATTACAGCACTAAATTCTAGCTGCAGGCTGTGTGTAGAATGTGTGCATATATATATATATATGTATATATATATATATATATATATATGTATGTACGTATGCATTTCTGGAAGCTACGCTAAGTCAGCTGTATCACGAGGAGGACAATACTTGCAGCTCCAGAGGCCACTCCACTAATCTGTTCAAAATCACCTCTTGATGATTTCCAGATGGACTTAGTCAAATTAGGAGGCAACTGTGTAGAAAATATTATTCTGGTTACCACTGAGAACATGTTTCCATGCCTGCACTATATAGTTTCATAGGTTTCTGTACACTCTTAAGCTGAATCCAGAAAAAAAAAACTGATTTGTTGGGCAAAACCCCAAATCTTGGCACTGTGCATCCTTGAGCAGCCTACTTGATCATTAAACTTCCAGTACGGTGGATTTGGCTTTTTTTTAACTGTTAATATGAGAGGATGTGGTGACGCATGCTGCACTCCAAGACTTCTAATCATTGCCTAATCTCGAGTTTTTCTCTAAGAGCAGCCTAGTAAAGACTCATGTTTAAGAAAGAAAACTCCTATCTGGCTTCTCCATTATAGCAATTCTGTTTGTGCGTGCAGAGTTCTCTTTGGTGTTAATCGTGAAATATGTGGCTGAAATGAAAATGCTTGCTTGCACAAATGTGTTGTTTTGCCATATTTTGGTGTTAAATACAGCAGTGCAGTGTAAAGAGCAATTACAACATTACACAGTTATGTAAATAATTGTAAGCAATTGAATATTTGTTTACTTCTTACTTCTGACAAAGTGTGACTTGAGCTGTAAAGGTTGTGCTGTTTTTCCAGGTAGGTCTGAGTCAAGTCCCTTGCTGATTTTTCTTCCCACTCTGCCCCTGTTTGCAATGACCAATGTACAAATCAATCAGGTTGTCACCGAGCTAAATAGCAAATATGTATCTTAAATTGAAAACAATGAGTGATAGATGGCAGTGACTAACCTTGTGTGAACCGTTATTTACTGTAGCATATATCAAGTCAAAGCATAAACTTGATCCAGCTCAACCTGCTTCCAGTTCGTCTTCAGGCTCAACGTAGCACTACGTAAACCAGCAGTCTGTTTAGTTCATGGTCACTCAGTAAATAGAAGAATTAATATAATTCCCACCATCTCATGCTTATTTCAGCAGTTGCAGTGAAGGACGTGTAGGGCCCTTTTTTCTTGCAGCAAGACATAAAAAAAGAAATCAGGACAGGTATGAAGAAAGTCGGTTACAAATTATAAATAAATAGGTAAAATAATCAATTCAGAAAGAATCTCTATTTTAGGAAGCATGATAATGATAGAAGCTATGGATTGATGATGATGGATTTGGTTGCCATCTTTGTTTGTTTAAACAAATTACATTGTGTGTATATTTATATATTTTTTTACTCAAGCATTTTTCACCTCAGTTCACACTTGTTGTATCCATCTCACTTAATTCACCTCCTTTAAGTTTGACTTTGCATGCATTGGTGCAGCCTGTAATTACTTTTCTCTCCAAGTGAAGTAAGACAAATGCCTGTGCCTTTGCAGTTCTTGCAGCAAGACAGCAATTTTGCTATATTAGAGTTTCTCCATCGTGTTATCCCAAAAAAAAATGAAGATGTGCTGTATAATTGCCTTTTCACATAATCACTCATATGTATCACCTGTATCACCAGGATAAAGCAAGACTATTATGTATACATTACTGACTCAAGACTGTGATGGAGATTATTACTGTATCACTGGCTAGCTGGCATGAAGCAATCATAATAATAGTAGGGCTGCAGAACATTAGAGGCTGAAGCCATACAGTATTTTCATTAAGTTAATCTTGATTTAACAAGGCGCGTTGACTAAGAACATCACATAAATGAAGTACCCACTTTACAGCAGTAGTCTGGGGGAGTGCTTGTACGTGGAGAGAGGGTCACACACATTCAATTTCAGTCAGGCTCAAAAGGTGCTCCACTTGAATGTTGCTGGAGTATGACTAAGACAATATACATGTAAACATATTAAGCTAAGAGGAAAGTACTTTAAAGATATTAATGCTAAGTCATCCTGCACAACAGTCCACAATGAAAAGAGATATCGTTAGAATGAGTAACCACTGGCTATGCTGCTATTATTCCGCATGTTGGCATTTATTTCGGGAAGGATAGTTGGTTCTTTTGGTGGCACTCTTGCTTTTAGACTTGATATATTTGGGTAATTTTCAGAAGAAAAAAAAATCTCTCAAAAGGTCAGTTTTTGGGCATGAGATGAAAAAGTGTAATGCTGTTTCCACCTCATTTAGCGGGCAGAATGAACACAGCTCACCCTCCCTGGGGGATTCACACTCTCACACCTACAAGCAGCCCAGAATCCACAGCTCCTGCTCCTCTGGAACAGTTGTGGGGGGTGGAGCGGTGCCCTGCACGAGAGCACTTTAATGGTAATTGTTGAGGGACACGAAAGTGACTTCAGCAGCCTATAAAAGGGCTCTAATCTATTCGAGCTATCACCACCCTGCAAAAATATCTTTCCATTTCTCTCCCTCTCCCTCTACCTTTTACAGGGCATGTGGGAAAGACTTTGCCAATTACTGCTAATCTGGAAAAGCCTTATAGGCTGAATACTGTAACACATTTTCTGGCAAGCAGTCTCACACACAAACACACAGACAATCATACAAATTCATATCCATGAAATGTCTTGATAAATTATAAAATTGCATCATAAAATATATATATAACAGTTTCTGTTTTTGTTTCTCTTTTATAATTTTATGTTTTCTTGACTATATAGTTTTTATTTCACTATTGGATTTTATTGCATTTAAATATTTCAAAATGTGTAAAATATCTGGAAAAGGTACTGTTCGCAGTTATCTTTTAGAATTTCATGAAGCTAGTATGAAAAATGTATTAATGTAATGTCAGTGCCACATGCAAAATTGGCTTTTAGGCCACAAGCTTGATGGTATTCTTTGCTTTTGTTGCAGAATCACTGGAGATTAATTTCCCTATTGTACTCATATTGTGTCATATTGTCTCTGCCACACAGGAAGGTTTTCAAAGTCTTAATCAGCTGGAGATTGAACTGCAAAAAAAAATCCAATATTTTGACAGATATTCACACCACTGGGCCACTGACATGACCTGAAATTGGTCTAAAATTGTGTACTAGAGTTTATTGAAATAACCCTGTAAGAAACTCATTCACTTCAGATTTCACATTTCCATTACATGACATCTCCAATTGTCCAGAATTGGCTTTTTACAGCCATGTGTACTGAAGCCATGTCAATCAGAAAAGACTAATTTAAAGAAGGGCTTAAATATTCTTTCACTTCATTTATATGACAGAAGTTAAAGGCAAGTTTGTGGAGTCTTTAGACCCCATCATGACGTTATCATTAACAGGGATAGTCACAGCATGAATTATAGAGGAATAATCCCCCCTCAGACGTTGGTAGTGGTCAAAGAGTGAAGAATAGAGAGGTGGAAGGGTGGAAGAGGGTCCCAGCGCTCTGACACTGAAGCAAAAACTAAAAGAAGGGAGAGAAAGGAACAGTTTTAAAGGTTTGACTGCAGCGAGAGGACTGGCTTGCAGATACCATGGCTAAATCTGATTGGTTGCACTGAAAAGTCAAGTTGAGTCAGCTGATTTAGTTTCAAGGATAAAAATCCAAATAAATGCAGTAAGCATCTTGCTGATTTAAATGTTGCTAAGCTTCAGATACAATGCAACTAACTCATCAATACACTTATTATTAAGCTGCTGCATTATTTTATATGAGTACATTAAGCAAATCAAGAGATTAAATGATGTTGATATGGGTGCAATCTACTGATATATAAAAATCAGTTTTATTTCCATGATCAAGCTTTGCCACACTGCAGCTGAATATAGTATTAGTATTCCCTGCTTTGTAAACATTGTATGTGATAAATGATGGCCGGATTAATGTGACCCGGAGTGTGTTGTTTTATGGAATAATCTATATCT